TTTTAAAAAAAAAAAAAAAAAAAAAAAAAAAAAATCCCTAAACCCTAAACCCTAAACCCTAAACCCTAAACCCTAAACCCTAAACCCTAAATTTTAAATTTTTGAGATTTTATTTTTTTCTTTTTAATAATAAATTTTATTAATATATAAATGTTATCTTTATGTATATGTATACATCTATACATATATATATTATATGTATATATATGTATATATGTATATATGTATATATGTATATATGTATATATGTATATATGTATGTATGTATATATGTATATATTTAAATATATGTATAAAAACGCCAAAAAAAATATAAATATAAATATATATATGTATATATATATGTGTATGTATACAGGCAGGAGAGAAGAAGAAAGGAGGATATTCATTTTTAGCAATAAGTATAGTATTAGCAGATAAATATGATAGAAATACATTCTATGTACGTTATCATAAAAAAAAAGGAATAAATGATTTATTTTTTAAGAGAGTAGATAGGGATAGAAATCTATGGACTAATGGATTATATGAATTTATAGAGAAATTAAGGGAATATTTAGATAAAAATAAGGATTTACCTGCTGCTGCTGCATATATACAGCAGCAACAGCAACAACAGCAGCAAGAAGAACAAGAAGGAAAAAAAAAAGAAAAAAAAAACTATAAAAAAGACCTAACAGATATAAAAAGAATTGCTAGTCCTAGACAAACTGCAGCTAATGAGCAAGAAAGGCCAAGGGTAAAAGATATAAAAAGAAGGATGGTAGAGGGACTCATGATGGAGACAGGAGGAGAGGACGAGGAGGACGAGGAGGAGGAGGAGGAAGAGGAAGAGGAGGAAGAGGAGGGAGAGGGAGAGGGGGAGGAGGGAGGAAGAGGAGGGGAATATAATTATAATAATATAAGGAGAAGTTATTTAACTAATCATTCTTCTTATAATACACAAATAAGAGAAAGATCTAAAAGTTATACACAAGAATAAATAAATAAATAAATATAAATAAATAAATATAAATAAATTAATGCATGCATGCATATTTATATAGTAGTGTATAGTGTGTCCTCCATTGAGGCTTTTTTCTCCTTATATATAAGGATATATATTTATATAAAGATTTATTTATATATATAAATAAATATAAATAAATAAATAAATAAATATAAATATAAATAAATAAGTAGAGTATATTTATTATTAATAAAAAGGAAGAAGTTTATTTTATTTATTTATTTATTTATATTAGTGTATATTTAGTTATATGTATATATCTTCCTCTTAATAAGTAATAAAGAGGGAGAAGAAAGTAAATAAAAATAAACAATAAATAAAATATATAAATAAATAAATAAATAAATAAATAAATAAGGTAACTTATTTTATTTGTTTCTTTAGTTATTTAATTTATTTATATAAATATACAGCAGCGGCGTTATGTATAATTGAGGTGTACGTACACCTCAATTATACACAACAATGATTTATTTATAGCCGCTTTTTTTTATAATATATAGATAAATAAATAAGTAAATAAATAAATAAATAAATAAATAAAATAAATGTTTATTCTTCTTTTCTCTTTTTTAACCTTTATTTGTATAGTTATATTTAATTAATTATTAATTGTATATATAATATATATAATGCATGCGCTAAGTGTGTTATAGTGGTGGGGTTGTTTACTTATGCAGCGGTGTAAGGAGAGAGGGTCTAGGGTTTAGGGTTTAGGGTTTAGGAAGGAGGGGGGAATAGACAAAAAGAAAATAAAATAAATAAATAACATTGAATATGTTTGTTGCTGCATGCAAGAAGGGTTTAGGGTTTAGTCTTAATACATTAGGGTTTATAGACGAGGTTATACAGCGTAAACCCTAAACCCTAATCTATAAACCCTTGCTTGTATATCTAATTATTATTGAATAAAAGGGTTTAGGGTTTAGAGGGAGTATAGATCGTTCTTGTTCTCCTATTAAGAGGACCATTGGTCATTAAATTATAATTAAATAAAATAAAATAAATAAATAATAATAATAAATGTATAAATAAATAAATAAATATTTTATTTATTCATAAAAAGAATTAAATATTCTTTTTTCTTATATATATAATTATACAGAAAAAACGTACCACTGCCGACCCTCCATGCTGCGGTGTATTTACGTCTTATTTATTGCTTTTTATGCTAATTAATTGAATAATATAATTAAAATAAATTATTTATTTATTATTTTATTTATTTTTATTTATTTATTCCCTTTAATAACATACAAGACACTCTTAATTATTGCCACCGGCCTTGCATGTATGTGTGCTGGTTTCTTTGCATGCATGCATGCATTGTGTATACGTATACCCTTCTAGTCCTTCTTTTTATGAAGAAAATGCAAATAAATAAACAAAATTAATAAATTTAATGAATTAAATGAATTAAATTGAGTTATTTTTGGTTAATTTTGTCCTTTTTATCTTTTTTCCTTCCCCTTTTCTGTCAATTTCTTCTCTTGTGTACGATCGAGCGATCACTGGGCAACGGCGTCTTTTTTTCCTTTTTTTCCCTTTATTTGTTCTTTCCTTTTAAGTAATTAATATATTTTTACCTTTTAATTGAGTTTTTAATGAAAATTCCCTCAAAGATTTTCTTTTAATTGCCATTTTCCCTCTGTTTTCTTGCCATCAAGACCGTCGGCAGCTGGGGTGTATATGCAGGTCTATATTTCCCTACCATTGGTATTGGGGTGTACAGGCAGCTAAATGGATAATTATTTTGCATAATATACATAATTATACATAATTATACATGATTTTTAATAATATTTAATGTTTTAATTAAATAAAAATGGATTTAAGGGCATTAGATGACCCTCCACCACTAGAAATAGCACAAATAAGTGATATAAATGTACTTTCTTGTTGGGAACAATGGCTTAAACTCTCCTTTTCTACCTCCGATCTACATATTGTTCGTGCTTGGACTCTTCAATCTCGTGCTACAGAAATCGCATTCGAGGAACAGGCCAGAGTAACCCCAAACCCTAAATAAACCCTAAACCCTAAACCCTAAACCCTAGGAACTCTTAAATGTACAATTACACAGGAGTATGACCTGCTTTCTCTTGTCTTATATGCATTCCCGCAACCATCAGCAGCAGCAGCAGCAGCAGAAGCAGCAACTAGCAGCAGCAACTAGCAGCAGCAGCTAGCAGCAGATAGAGCAGCAGTATCCTTGTCTGCTGGGATCGTTTTGCACACAACGATCCCAACGATCCCGATCCCCGTTTCTCCCCCACCCCCTATTTTATTCTTTTTTTCTTCTTTTTTCTTCTTTTTATTATTCTTCTTTTTCTTTTTTTTTCTTTATTATTATTTATAGGCATTAAGAGGTCCTATAGTATATTCTTTCTTAGATAGGGATCGTATCCCTGGTCCTGTTTCCTTAGAGGAGGTAATAGAGGGTACTAATTTATCATGTAATTGGGCACAATTACTGTACCCTGTTGGGGCCCTCGAGGCCCCCCCTGCATTTGCTGCATGCCCTGCTAGTACATTTAAGATACTTGCATGCAAAATTGCTACAGGGAGTACTCTTGCTCATCAAGATGCAGAAGGTAAATTAGGGTTTAGGGTTTAGGGTTTAAGGGAAGGGTTTGGGTTTGAGATAGTCGGGGAATTTGTAGTTCGGAAGAAAATAAGGGTTTAGGGTTTAGGGTTTAGGGTTTAGGGTTTAGGGTTTAGGGTTTGTGGCTGTTTAGGGGATTTTGAGAAGAGAAAGATTCCTGCAAATTATTCATCATTGGCTCTTGTACAATCTTCTCCTTCAACTAATGAAGCAAAGTAAACCCTAAACCCTAAACCCTAATCCCTAAACCCTAATTGTCCTAAACCCTAGATACTATTATATCTAGGGTTAATTAACATTATAATATTACCATATATATAATTAAATATAACAATAATAAACTTTATCTTCTACACCATAGAATTCAGACTTGAGATTTCAGAATTCAGAATTTAGGGTTTAGGGTTTAGGGTTTAGGGTTTAGGGTTTAGGGTTTAGGGTTTAGGGTTTAGGGTTTGTGTATTTTGTATAGGATATTACGGATGTTATATCGTGTAAAGGAGAGTATGCAAGTATTACCATTAATAATAATAGAATATTCATTACAATTATTATTAATAGAGGTATCTTCTCCTTTATGTGATTTATGTCATCTTCTTCCTTCTTCTCTCTTCTGCCCAGCAGATAAGGCACATCTATGTGATGCATGCGATCTAACTCATCATTCTGCATCTAGGCTACTAGCTAGACATAGGAGGCTACCTGCTGCACATGTAAGTATCCATGCATGCATGCATGCATGCAGACGTGTATGCATGCATGGATAAACGCTTCCATGCATGCATGCATGCATGCATGCATGTATGTATGTAACGCTGCATGAGTGCATGCATGCATCTTTGTACTCATGCATGGACCCATTTTTATGCATGCATGCATGCATGCATGCAGAATTGTATTGTCTCCTTATACTATATCCTTATTTATCTCCTGTTCCCCCTTTTTTGTCTCCTTTTTGTCTCCTTTTTTATCTTTTTTTTCTTTTTTTTTTTTCTTTTTTTTTTGCAGTCTCCTTTTCAATTTGGCCAATGTCCAAATCATCCATCAGAGATGCTCGATTGTGTCTGCATGGTGGTAAGACTCTCTCCTTTTTTTTGTCTCCTTTTTTTTGTCTCCTTTTTTTTGTCCCCTTTTCTGTCTCCTTTTTTGTCTCCTTTTACTGTCTCCTTTTTTTTGTCTCCTTTTTTGTCTCCTTTTTTTTGTCTCCTTTTTGTCTCCTTTTATTGTCTCCTTTTACTGTCTCCTTTTTTTTGTCTCCTTTTTTGTCTCCTTTTTTTTGTCTCCTTTTTGCCTCCTTTTATTGTCTCCTTTTATTGTCTCCTTTTATTGTCTCCTTTTATTGTCTCCTTTTATTGTCTCCTTCTATTGTCTCTTTCCCCTTTGCACCAGTCTCCTTTATCTGTCTCTTTTGCTATCTTTATCCTTTTTGCCCGTCCCTCTTCATGTCTCCCTCTCTTTGTCTCTTCTCTTGTTCTAGGGTTTAGGGTTTAGGGTTTAGGGTTTGGTGTTTGTTTTGTATTAGTGTTTTGTCGCCCTCTGCCCTCATTGTATTCTTATTGGCCATCACTCAGCAGCAGGTAAGTAGAAAACCAGGGTTTAGGGTTTAGGGTTTAGAGGGTTTAGGGTTTAGGGTTTAGAGGGTTTAGGGTTTACAAGGGTCTCTCATTGGGAGTATAGAGCTGTTTAAGTTGCGCATTGATGTAACGGCTCTATTGCATTTAGGGTTTAGGGTTTAGGGTTTAGGGTTTAGGGTTTGCGTTTTTCTGTAGATTTCTCCGAACATCCGCTTATATCAACACTTGATGCATACAAGATGAGCATGCAGGGAACCTCCCCGGTAAACCCTAAACCCTAATTCCTAAACCCTAGACCCTAAGTCTCCTTGTTCCTACCTGTTAGCTGGAGTATTACCTGCGATATCACGTATGGGTGGTTGCTTCATCCTGTATCTAAGGTTTAGGGTTTAGGGTTTAGGGTTTAGGGTTTAGGGTTTGGTGCCCTCAGAGCGAAGAAGCAGTAAATATGCGTAGAGAAAAGATAATAAAAGATTTACAAGAAAATCATCGCCTATTGGCGCGTCTGCATGCAAACTTTGCCTCTGTACACCGTAAAATAGATGACTCCAATAAGTAAACCCTAAACCCTAAACCCTAATTCTGAAAAACCCTAAACCCTAATTCTGAAAAACCCTAAACCATAATACTGAAAAACCCTAAACCCTAAACCCTAAACCCTAAACCCTAGAAGGAATAGTGGAGTGTCTCCTTCAGGGCGTTAATGGAGCAACTACAGATAATAAAGAAAAAACAAGTTGGCTTCTTACAGGCCCTCAAGAGAGAACTTCTTACTGAGTGTCTTATTATTGAATGGATGGAGGTAAACCCTAACCCTAAACCCTAAACCCTAAAACCCTAATATATGACTCCAACTCTAAATGTACAACGCTGACTCGTAGTGGCATTATAAGCATGTATAAGGGTTTGTCTTTCTGCTGGAGATGGTATTTAGGGTTTAGGGTTTAGGGTTTAGGGTTTAGGGTTTGTGGTGTTCAGGCTTTCTTCTCTCATTTACGATTAGCCTTAGGTCCTTCTGACTATCTAAGTTATCAACACCGTCATGACTTATTGGTGCGTATAAATTCTATTCCTCCCCTAGTATCTAGGGTTTAGGGTTTAGGGTTTAGGGTTTAGGGTTTAGGGTTTATATATATTTTCAGGCAGCGGATTTATTTGGTGGCCCTGTCCGTATAGAAACTTCTCGTGAATTTCTTCCTCCATGGGTAACAGAGAAACTTTTCCTTGAGGGACAATTTAGGGTTTGTAATACTCCTTTTACTGTCCCTGAGCTAACAGCTTCTCGTGTTGCTGATGATGACGTGGTAAGGGTTTAGGGTTTAGGGTTTAGGGTTTAGGGTTGGGGGAGGTGGAGTTGGGGGAGCTAGGGTTTGTGTGTTTTCTTAGCATTCACGCCACACCTCTGTAGTGTGTTTAAGGGTGTAGATGTGTATATATTGAGGGTTTAGGGTTTAGGGTTTAGGGTTTTGGGGTGTATATGCAGCTTCGTGTATTTTTAAAGGTAGTAGATAAGACAGGAAGAAGGAGACTAAAATTAAGAGAGAAGAAGAAAATAATTAATAAAGAAAAAGGGTTTAGATTTATATCTAATGAGGAGGAAAAAGAAGAAGGAGAAGGAGGAGGAGAAAGAACAAAAAAAGAAGAAAAAGAAGAAGAAAAACAACAAGAAGACGAAGAAGAACAAGACAGCAGCAGCAGCAGCTCAGGATCAGGTCTGTCTCCTTTTCTGTCTCCTTTTCTGTCTCCTTTTCTGTCTCCTTTTATGTCTCCTTGTCTGTCTCCTTTTCTGTCTCCTTTTCTGTCTCCTTTTCTGTCTCCTCCTCTTTTATAAACCCTAAAAAACCCTAAACCCTAGAAAAACCCTAAACCCTCGTAGAAGAGCCCTAAACCCTAATTTTTTTTTCTTTTTTTTTTATAAAACATGAATATAATAATAATAGTCTCTTTTTATTGATGTATACAGAAGGAGACAGCGAAGGAGACAGCAAAGATTGGGGTTTATTATTAACACAAGGAGACGATGCAGCACCAGGCCCTCGTGTTGCTGCTCTTTCTCGTGTTTTACTCTTTCCTGATGAGCCTGCATCTATAAACACTCATTCTTATAAAATACAACATGCTCTTCCTGTTGATGGTAACTATTCTCCTGCTGCTGCTGCTGCTGCTGCTGCTGCTGCTCTTGCTGCTGCTGATTGGGCTGCTCCTTATTGTCCCGCTTATTCGGCTGTTTTCTGGTGCTTGTAGCTGTTTTTTTCGCGGAGTTAGGGTTTAGGGTTTAGGGTTTAGGGTTTAGGGTTTAGGGTTTAGGGTTTGTGGTGTATATATAGGGGAGGAGATGGTGATGGCAGAAAGAGATCCCGAGAGTATGCCAGAGATAATAAGAGCAGCAATAAAGGAGACAAAAAAGGAGACAGAAAAGGAGACACTTGCTGCTGATTATTTTAGGGTTAATCCCCTTAATTTATTACCTAAAGAATTACCTAAACACTTATGGACTATTGCCTCCGATCTTAATTTTAGACCCCTTCTTCTTTTATTAAAGGTACCCTAAACCCTAAACCCTAAACCCTAAACCCTTATTTGCAATAAACCCTAAATACGCTTCTTTAGATACCCATACAATAACAGGAGGGTTTATATAACCCTAAACCCTAAACAATCATAAACCCTAATAAACCCTAATATACCCCTATGTATAAACCCTAATAAATAAATAGCTCGCCACAGAGACAGGGAGAGAAACACTTTAGGGTTTAGGGTTTAGGGTTTAGGGTTTAGGGTTTAGGGTTTGTGATTCAGTCTGCAAGTAGACAACAATTACCTGAATTAATGAGGGCTTCTCTTCATCTTGCTTTATATATGCGAGATATTGAAGGGTTTGTTAAAAAACTTCTCGAGGTTAGGGTTCTAGGGTTTAGGGTTTAGGGTTTAGGGTTTAGGGTTTAGGGTTTGGGCCTCCTTTTTTTTTGTTTGTTCTCCCTTTTTTTTATTCTTTATGAATTATTTAATTAATTAGTACATAATAAATAAGTAAATAAATAAACAAACTAATCATTAGCTAATTCATTAACTAATACACTTAATAAATAAATAAATAAATAAATAAATATATTATGTGTGTGTGTGTCTCCTTTGTGTCTCCTTTGTGTCTCCTTTGTGTCTCCTTTGTGTCTGTTTAGTTTGAATTAGATTGTATAGATTATTTACCTGTCTCCTTATTAATAAGTGTCTCCTCTTTATTAAATTGTCTCTTTTCTTCTTTTTTTTATTTTCCTCGTCCTCTTCTTCCTATAGAGGAGCGTCGCTTCTTTTTTACCCTATTAGGTCCTCCTCTTAGTACAATAACAAGAGGATTAGCTGCTCGTCACCATCAGCAGCAGCAGCAGCAGCAGCAGCAGCAACAGCAGCAGGAGCAGCAGCAGGAGCAGCAGCAGGAGCAGCAGGAGGAGGAGGAGGAGCTAGGGGAGGAGGAAGAGGAGCAACTGCTGCAGCCAGCATTAATAATATTTGTAGATTTATTAACACAAATAAAATTAAATGTTATACCTAAGACAATAAGAAGTATATTATATTTATTAACAGACTGTATAGACACTAGACAGCAGCAGCAGCAGCAGCAGCAGCAGCAATTGCAGCAATATATTGATTTAGGGTTCCACCAGCAACAACAAGGAGGGGGAGGATTATTATCTACATCTATACCTTCTGCTAGTGGTGCTGCACCTACTGCTGCTGCTGCTGCAGCTGCAGCTGCAGCAGCAGCAGCAGCAGCACCTGCAGCAACAAATAATGCTAGTGCAGCAGCAGTTGCTGTAGGGGGACAAGTGCTGCTGTCTTGTCTCTTTGTCTCCGCACTAAGACTAATGAGGGAGGAAGCAATAAAAGGGTATAAGCAGGCCCTTAAGGATATAAGCAGCAGCAGCAGCAGCAGCAGCAGCAGCAGCAGCAGCAGGAGAAGAGGAGGTAAGAAAGGGACAGTAATGGTGTCTCTTCCTGTAGGTACAGAGGAGACAGGAAAAGGGACAAAAGAAATAGGAGAAATAAATGCATGCAAATATATAAATATACATAAATCTTTATTACCCTTAATGTTATTAGATAAAGGAATAAGACAATTAAGTCTTTTCTTAGGAGACACAGCAGCAGCAGCAGCAGCAGCAGGAGCAGCAGGAGCAGCAGGAGCAGCAGGAGCAACAGCAGAAAAAATAGAGGAACAAGAAAAAGAGACACTTAAATTAAAAGGAGACAGAAGATTATTAATACAATTAGCAAGAAAAATAAATAAATGGATAAGGAGACAGTTATGTACACCAAGGGTACTGTCTCCTTTATTAATAGGGGCAGCAAATATAACACAAGAAGAAGGAGACACAGCAGCACATTTGCTGCTGCAGTATGTGCTGCTACTAGATAAACAATCAAGAGAGGAGGGTATACCTGCAGCAACACCACCATTAGCTGCTGCAGCAGCAGCAGCAGCAGGAGCAACACCAGCAGCAGCAGCAGCAGCAGCAGCAGCAGCAGGAGACACCATAAAAAAGGAGACACTAGACAGCGAACATTTTAATCGTCTCCTACAACTTGCTATTAAATCTTCTGCTTATACACTACCTAATTTGTCTCCTTATACTGCTTAATTTATTTATTTATTTATATATTATAGATATATTATTATATAATTATATAGATAAATAAATAAAATAAATAAATAAATTATTATATATATATA